ATTTTTTTAATTTTCAAATCGCAATAACTTTTGAATGAATGAACCGATTTTCACGCGGTTGGCAGCATTCGACGCAGTTTTTTAAGCTTCATAGTAAATCTGTGAGTTTATATCGACAGAGTGGAAAAATTCGGAGTAATTCCGAAAAAACGCTTTTTTCGGTTTTCTTTCGTCAACGATAACTCACGAACGAATCAACCGATTTTGACCGGACTAGCGGCGATCGACGTGGTTTTTTGATGTTAAGAGCTGATTAGTTTTTAGAATTGATCGGTAGAGCCGTTTAAAAGTTATTTTAAAAAAACCACTTTTGAAAAAATTTTTTTTTGTAGCTTTTTTACGATTTCTCAAAATCTGTCGGTCCGAATCGCTTCAAATTTTCAGGAAATCTAAGTTTGGGCAAGCCCTTTCGAATGGCGCCAACCGCGATCAAATCGGTCAAGCCGTTCAAAAGTTATAAGAGTACCATCACCGCGGGAGTAGTCAGGGAAGCTTCCTATGACCTTAAAACGTCGAGATCTGATGAAAACTCGATTTTTGCAAAACGGGGTGAAAACAATAACTTCCCGATTTTTGAAAATCTGAGATTTTTAGCGGGAAGTTAAAAATATTTATTAACCATGAAGTATGAAATGAGGTTAATGAGTTATACGCAGTTGCATGGCTAAAAAAAATCATTTTTTTATAGACACAATTTTTATTTATCAATTACAAGTAATGGTTATTCAAATAGAGCCTACTTTCAAGAATACAATAGTGCGTCAATCATGTAAAAATATCAATGTGTACCGCTCCTCTAAAAGCCTCTAAAAGATGTTCCAAACGACTTCTAAAAAAAAGGCGCTTGGCGGTGATCTCCATTTCGGCGGTTAGGATTATCTGAAACCAAAGTATATGGTGAATTTTTTTGAAGGATAGATTAATGCAGGTATTGGACGAAGGAATAAGATTTAAAAAAATTATGACTATTTTTTTTAACAATTTGGAAAATTTTTTTTCAACAAAAACGAAAAATTTTTTATAAATAGACGCCATTTTGTTAAAAATCATAATTTTTTTTATTCCTTCGTCTAATACCTGCATTAATCGATCGATCAAAAGAATTTACCATATTTTTTTGATTTCAGATAATCCAAACCACCGAAATAGAGATCACCGCTTTTTTTTTTAGAGGTCGTTCGGAACATCTTCTACAGGATCGGTGCACATTTATATTTTTACATGATTGACGCGCTATTTTATTCTTGAAAGTAGACTCTATTCGAATAACCATCACTTGTAATTGATGAATGAAAACTGTGTCTATAAAAAATTCATTAAAAAATATGGTTTTTTAGCCTTGCAACTACGTATAACCCCTTAAATTATAACTTTTGTAGCATATCTTCTGCAATTCGTAATGTTTCTAAAGTTTTATATAATTTAACCAAATACAAATTAATTTTTCTCAATTTCATCATATGGATAAGGCAATGTACTAATAAATAGTCTAAATTTAAGTTAATTTTTAATTTTTAATCAATCATTCACTATCAATTGAATTTCGTTTAATTTTCTTCTGCATTTTCGAGGTTATTAGCAGCTGCGTTGTTTTTACGACACTCATTATTCAGCATATTATTTATTGCAGATCCAAAATATGATTTTTTGTAGTTGTCGAACTTGTTTTTTACGGCTTCTGAAATATAAAAAAGAATCAAGATACACTTCTCACAAAAATTAAGGGAGCAAGAAAAAAATCCAAATTTTTGGGGGATTTCAAACAGACTGTAGCTTGTAAAATAATGGTCTTACAGCAAATAAAAAAAGCAAATTGTAGCTCTAAGTGTCTAGTTTTTGGATCTGAGTTTGAACATTTTTTTTTGAAATTTCTTTTCGAGTAATCTTAGGAAAATCACCGAAAAAAAAATTTTCGAAATTTTTTTGGTTTTTTTTAATCTACGGATTTGGAAAAAATTTTTTTGACTTAACCTTTATATGGACCAGACAACTTGTTTATCCAGTTTTAATTTGATTTTTTAAAAATCTTGATACGAGCTTTTCTCGCTGAGATATTAGTGTTTGAATGGAAAAAGATCATTTTGTCTGATTACCAATATCTCAGTAACCAATGATCGCACAAAAAACTCAAGGTTGGTTTCTAAAACTTGCATAAGTTCCCTACAAAAATTGGCTTTTTTTCCCACGATAGAATTTTTGAAAAAATTAAAGGAGCAAAAATTTCGCTTAGAAAAGGTCAAAATTAAAAAATTATCGGTAAAGGAATTACCCTATCGAGTATTTACCTTCAATCGCATTCATTTTCAGTTCATCTAAGGCTGGTCGAATGGGTGCGTCGCGGTTGATTCTGCTTCGCTTTCCTCTTAGATTACTTCGCAGCCTTTCTTCTGTACTGAAAACTGACTTTGTAACGGGTGGTTTATTTCCCGTACTTATTGGCCCTGAATAAAATTAATAATTAACAATATAACAACAAAATGACTCTAATGCTAAATAGGGCGCCACCAGGATTATTTTCTCGGTTCCTGGAACCGGATGCCAGAGCTGAGTTTTCTTATTCTACAGGGAGAGAGAGAGAGAAAGGTGGTCTGAAATAATTAAATCTTTATTTAACAATTGGCCAAAATTTATTAACAATAAAATCACAACTCGTACACTTGTACGTACTCCCAACTCACTTACACTACTCACTTACAACTACGACTTGTGACTACGATTTTCTTACTTCACGCTTCCCACCGGGAAGTCGCTACTACAACTTATAACTACTGGAGGATTTCGGGCTGGAACCGGCTACTCCGACTTAGAACTACTTATCAATAAGACACCTCGTACAAAGACTGCAGTGCACGAGGGCTTATCAATAACGCCTTGCTACAGAAGCAACAGCCTAGTGACTGCAACATAAGCCAAGAAGCCTCTGCAGCTCTCTCACACACATACCCCTTACGTCGCGCTGTCCACCGGACCCTCACGCTCTACGCCAGAGAAACACCTCGCAACGGACTGCACGACTGCGAAGGAACTCTGGTAGCACTCACACACACATACCCCACACGTCTCACACACACACCGACTCTACTTTACTAATTTATTTCCGGATTTACAACAATTAATTCCGAAAAATGTCAACTTTAGATTCTCATTAAAACTCATCAGTCATTAGCTCGCAAAATAAAAACTCTATACTTTATCTTCACAAATTAACAATTTACTTCTTAAAATTTCCGGCTTAACCGACGCTTCTTTTCCTTCCCAATTTAACACGAGCTTATCTCTACGCATTAACCAATTCTTAGAATATTCTTTTGTAATTTTAACTAAATTTTACTCGGACTTAATCCACACGAATAAATAGTTTTTATAAATGATTTTACCGGAATAACAATACTAAATTATTGACAAATTTTTACAAGACAATAATTCATATTTATAAGACTCCTCAAGCAGAAATTGGCAATAAATTATAATTTTACTAAATGTAAAAATTACATGCCTCAATTTTTCCTGCGGGTGTTTAAGTTTATTCTGCGTCGAAATTTAATGATGATTTAATTCTTAATAATTAATAACCCGTGGAATAACTATTTTCTGATAAATTGTGAATAATGATTAATTAATAATTCATTCACTCTGGTGAAAATTTAAACACAGAGAATTTTCCACGGCGTTAATTTTCTAAATGCGACGCAGTTTTCCTCAATAAATCAATTCCGGTGATTAAAATTGTTCCGAATAAATAATTAAATAATTTTCCACAATTAATAAATAAAATAAAATAATTAATTAAGTGGTAATTCAATCGTTAAAATTAGTCCATGTATTTACCGGGAAAAAAGGTTTTGTTAAATTAAATGGTGAAAAAATTGCAAAGTGATACATGAATTGCAATATTATTGATATGCACGCCAAGTTCTGTGCTTAAAGTACGTTTAAAGTGCCCTATTCTACATTCGCCAAATATCGTCCTCGTTATTGCGTGGAACCACAAGTAACACAACGGAATACAGGTGCGTGTATTACGCATGAAAATTTTTCTCTTCTAATCAATGCTCTTCATCGAATGAAAATCATAACAGAAAATACTTCAGAAAAAATCATAAAAAGCTTAGTCTGTGATAATCGAAAAGAAAAATGTCTTTCCCGAAGCTGTGATTTTTGTAAACATAAGGAAATAGAAATTAAATTGAGTAACGTTGATGTGTCAAGTCAAATGTATTTTATGAAGTGGGTATTATCATCGGAAGAAAGAATGAGTGAAAAAACTAAGAAACTAATTACTGTAAAAATAACATCAAAAAATAAAATAACGTGTACCATAGAAGAGACTATAAAATTACTAAAGCAAGAAATAATTCCATTTATGTCTCATGAATTTAGAATTTTTCATCAGAAACTATTTACTAAAACGTTGTTGAATAACTTGATAGCCGATGAATTAGTTGTTCTCATTGACTTTAGTGAAAACTATTCATGCAAATATGGAACTGAGGTCCAGTCTGTCCATTTTGGTGCTAGCAGGACACAATGTACGCTGCATACTGGAATGATTTATAGTCAAAATTTTTCTCAGGGGTTTGCTACCCTATCTCAATCTTTACGACATGATCCTGCTGCAATTACTGCCCATTTAAAGCAAATCCTTAACTACTACCTCTTACAGCTTCCAAATATAAAAAAAATACATTTTATGAGCGATGGCCCGACAACTCAGTACCGGAACCGTAAAATGTTTTATATTATTACGCAATATTTTCCACTCTGTTACCCTCAAATTCAATTTATATCTTATAATTTTAGTGATGCTGGGCACGGAAAAAGTGCAGCTGATGGCATTGGAGGCTTTTTGAAACGTTCAGCGGATGACCAAGTGAAATTTGGCAAGGATATATCTAATTTTGACAAGTTAATAACAGTTTTGCGTGGCTCCACTAACAAAATATATATAGATGTCGTAACTTCTCCCCAAATTGAAATTATTGATACTTTATTGCCAGAAAAATTTCGTCCCTTTATTGGTACAATGAATATGCACCAGTACACTTGGAGTAGAGAAAACTCTGGCCTAATATTATTCAACTCGTTAATGTGTCTCGACTGTCAACCTGGCACAATGTGTGAACATTTTTCGATGGGAGAAATAAACTACAATGATAATCGATTAAAATTAGCTTCTCCAAAAGAAAAGAAAACTTTAAAAAGATCTCAGAAAGTCTCTGTAGTCGCTGATGAAATTAAAAAACCCAAAGTTGTTCCAAATGTAACTCTTCGACAAAGCTTAAGAAATAAGAAATAAGTCACTAAATTTTTTCATTAGAAACTATGTTATAGATTAATATTTAACTATATATAAAAATTGTATTATATTTATTGTTTTTTATATTTAAATTTGTTAAAAACTTAAATCAATTTAATTATTTAACTAATGTTAAACTTGGTTTTATTCTAAGAATAATCTAAAAATTGTTATTTTAATCCTACTGTTAATAAATTTTAAAGATTGTTAAAATCAAGAAAGAAAATACCAAAATTGTCACTGTATGATTATCAAAGTCTTATAATTTATCATTCTTTTTATTATTTTAAAAGTTTAAAGAGATTTAGGCAAGTATTTTTAACATTTAGTTTTAATGTCAATACCGTGGAGGTGAAATTTCTAATTTTTGTTCTAGTTTCTTGTCTATTGAAGTTGTAGTAGAACTACGTTACAGGCTTAATTTGGAGCATAATAAAAGCCCAATAGCATCCAGAACACAAGTTTTAAAGCATTTTTAATTTTAATAAATTTTGAGTTGTAAAAATCACAGTTATATAAGAATCAGTCATATATAATTATGTATGATTATATATACTCTTACATAATTATACAAAAATAGCTAAAACTTTCTATAGAAATATGTAGAATTACACATAATTTTGCATAATTATATGAAATTTTATATTATAATATATAATTTTGCGTTGTTATATATAATGATACAAAAATCATCTAAACTATTATATAAAACGATATATAACTATATATGATTATTATGCATAATTTTGCATAATTATAGATAAATATACAAAATTAAGGAAAAAATATATCCAGAATTATATACAATTATATACAACTCTGAATAATTAGACATGAATCATATATAATTATACAGAATTACATATGAATCATATATAATTATATATAATTCATATATAATTAATTAATTATATATAATTGCACATAATCCTTTTTACCCGGGAAACAAAAAAAAAGGACTTATTGATACATTGTTAATCAAAAATTGATACAGTTATTTGATAATTGATATAATTATTACTATTTATAATTAATATTAACTATTTTATTAATTTATCATTTATAATTATTATTAATTTATTTATTTATAATTAATGTTATTTATTAACATTTATTAATATTATCAACAATAATAATCTGATATAATTGATTTTTATTTGACATAAATATTTTTAAAACTAGTTAAAAACATTAATTTTTAATTTTCAAATATTATTTACAATTTTGGAAAATTTAATTTAAATAATTTGTTTAAATATAATCACGAACAATTAGTTATAGAACAATATTCTAACTGCTAGCTCTGACGTCACGCGAGACGAGAGATATATGTGTTACAAGCCAATGCTTGGGCCTCTCTATCGTTTGTTTGATCATGCCTCTCTATCGCTTGTTGCGCGCTCTCGCTTGCACGCATAGGCTCAGGCGGAACGGGACACTTTTTCGTGTGCGCGGCCAGTGTTCATCAATTTATAAGACGTTATCACGTCAAAAAGTGCTGCTAAGATCCGTAGAATCTTTTGGAGGGAAAGTCTCGAAAACTATCAGATTATACTGTAGAAAATGGAAAAAATAAAAAGTGCTGCTAAAATTCCTAGGATCTTCCGGAAGGAGTAATTGGGTTACTTTTGGGTACAACTGCGGAATACTGAAAACAACGAAAGATTTCAGGAATTTTAGCAGCACTTACGTTATTTTATGTACTCCGTAGTTTTACTTGAAAATACCCGAGAAACCTACTTTAGAAGATTTTAGGAATTTTAGCGGCATTTATGTTATGTATTGTACTCCACAGTTTTACTTGAAAACACTCAAGAAACCTATTCTGGAAGATTCTATGAATTTTAGTGGCAGTTTTGTAAATTTTTTGTATTTAGCAGTTTTACCTGAAAGCACCTGAGAAACCTACCCCGGAAGATTCCAGGAATTTTAGTGGCCTTACTGTTATTTTTTGTGTTCTGCAATTTTACCTGAAATCAGTCGAGATATTTCTTCCGGAAGATTTTAGAAGTTTTAGTCGCAGTCTTAACAGTCTTTAACATCATAGATAAGCAGAATTCCTTCATTTTGGTCCAAATTAGATGTCAACATTTTTCTTTTTTAATTTTATGGTCCGTTCCATGCTCTTCATCAACTTGAAATATTCCGCAAACCTTCCACTCAAAGTTCCGCTCAGTCTAATGAGTGGTTCAAAATGCGGGATTCTCGCGGGATTCCACAGGGTGAAATTTTTTTTTACACGGGACACACAACTACACGGGACACAGAACTACACAAAATAAAAATATAATAGAATAATTATTCTATTATATTTTTATTTTGTGTAGTTCTGCACAATTCTATACTTTTTAAACATTCCTACCTGGGTTATAAACGGTAAAGAAACTTGACTCAGCCGATAAATGGAATTCTACCTAAAAATTTATTCTATCCCTTTCAATTATTTCCAGTACGAAACACTGTTTCCAGAAATCGTATTGGAACGGATTTAATCTTATAAACTTTCAATCCGAGTCCGTTTGTTGAGCTCGTCATAAGTCAGTCAGTGGTATTTTGCCTATATACAATTATGCTATAATAGTTCTCGAACTTAAATAATAAAGTTTTAAAAATTATTAATAAAAAACTTAGTCAATTCATCAATCTTTTTGTGATTAATATAGCTGAATTATGTTTACAAGATTACTTTCTTATATATCAATGGGTCAAAATGTTTGTCGTTCAAGTGTTAGCCTTAGGACAGGATTAAATATCTGTTTTCATGCCTGCAGCATTAATTTTCATTCCCTTCGGAAGCTGTAATCTCATTAAAGCTTTTAACTGTTTATTTAAAAAAAAATACAAACACCTTCAAGTTAGAAGAAATTTTGAGAGATCAAAATGAATTTGGAAGAAAAGAATAAAACAGTATAAAACGGTGAAAAATAGTGAACTGTATAAAAGAAAGAAAAAATAATATAAGGGTTGGTAACGTGTATGGGTTACGAACCCTAAGCCAACCGCGAATTTAAGATCCGATAAGCTGACTATATTGGAATCTCCTTGTAGATATTGTTCTTCCTTCCGTTTGTGTAGTCCATTAACTAAGCCTGTTTCTTTTACTATGAATACACAAAAAATATATTTATACTACAATGAAGATTGAAAGCATAATAAATAATCATCATAAATTAAATAATCTATTCTTCGTATTCAGTCAGATAGTGAGATCAATAATTAATAATAATTATATAAAGTACATAGAAACGAGAGTTTGGTTACTCCCGAAATAAACTTGAGCATTCATCTAATAATATAAACAATTAGTTGGAGGATGAACAGCATGTTGAAAGTTAAAAAACGCCATTCGGCCACACTCGACATAGATAGGTAGATTTCTTGTTTAAATATTGACAAAAACACTATTTAAAAAAAAGGCCATTCGGCAGCAGAAATGGAAGTAGATTTTTCAAATAAAGAAAATTGATTTTTAATAAAATAATATAAATACTAATAATGTATAACTTAGTTCATGAATTAAAAAAAAAATTCAATAATAAGTTTGAAACTATTTAGAACAAATTTTGGAAAAAAAATTATCTTGTGAAGAAAAAGTTTCTCAAATATTTATCAAACAATTGCAAAGATTATAAGATTTGAATTATAAATGTCCAAATTTTAAGTAACTGCTTAGGAACAACAGTTTCCAAGTTAATCAGAATTTTAAAACCGGACAAATATTAATTGAAGAAAACAATATTTAGAACTAATTTGTGACATATTTACTGACGACCTACCCGAAAACATTACACAAAAGACTGATCAATATCGTAATTATTGAATTTACATCATGATTAATCTATGATGCAGACAATAATTCTCGAACGGCTGCAACAGTAAAACTGTTTCATTAAACGAACTCTAAAAGGACTAATATTGAGGCTATTACTACTTCGGAGTAGCGAAAATTGAAGCTTATTAAAAGACCATTACGATGCATTTTACCGAATTTCAATATCTTGTCTATTTCAGTAATTATACCAAGTTGAAGTAGTAAAAACAGCAATTTTTACGATTTTCAAAATTTCAAAATCCTGTAATTTTTAAATTACTCGCCCGATTAAGCTCATTTTCGAACTTAACCTTGGTCTTGATCGATCGATAAAGCATGTTGAGTTTGAGAAGAATCGGTTATAAATTGAAAACGCTATCGTGCTGACAGGCCGCGTTATATCACATATATATTAGGGTGATTCATTTGCGACAAACATTTTTTTTTTTTAGGTGCTCAAGCAAAATTTTGTTCTACATATTGAAAAAAAAATTTTCAACAAGTTAGAGCTCTTAATTCGAGTATGAAGTGCTTTCCGTTTTAATTTGATTTTTTCCCATTAGAAATGCATGTAAATATTTTTTTTTTTTTCAAATTTCTAATGCTCGGACAAATTTAATGATATTGCTTTGGTCCACTGGTACCATCTGTCAAAATTATGTTTTCGAATAAAATGCATATTTTTTTATTATTACAGCGAAAACTGATTGATAGATGGAAAAAATAATACATATTTTTATAAAAAATTTGATTCTCTTCAAAAAAGGTCTTAACTTAAGTCGCTCAGACTCATAGTTTTTAACTTGCAGTAACTTTTGTAACTAGAAAAGTAGAAAAATGATAAAAAAATTACAAATTATGATGTTTAAATTCAAGTTTTTGTTTCAAATTTATTTTTTTCATTGCATTATCAATTTTACTTTTTGTACTTTTATACCTGACATGTTACACATACTGACATACACGGAAAAAAGAAAACTAGAATAATTACAGTTTAAAATCTAAAATCAAGCCCGTCGTTATTAAAATAGAAAAAATTAAAGTTCAAACTGTAATTTTTGTATTTTATATAGTAACAAAATTGTTGTCATGCAAGAAGCAAATTTTACAGTTTGGAAATGTAAATCTAACATCATAAAAGGTAAAAATATTATTGCTTTTTATGCAGGAAATTTTATCTCTTAAAAAGTCATTAATTTCTATTTAAAACTGTAAAAATTATCATTTTTCAGCAATGTACAAATTAAAATGCCAAATAATATAGTTTATTTACTGGTTCACTAAAATTTACAGTGTGAGATACGAATTATGAACTCTGTAATTTTTAGATTTTTTATATTAAGTACTTAAAAGCTGCACAGGCCAAAACAATGCGACGACGAGCAAATTTGATTATCGACGCTTTATGGTCTGTGGAACAGCAAGTTACAAGATATGTGAGTGACAAGTTATACGAAGGCCAAAAAAAAGTTACTCCGCAAGAATACAATAACATCATAAGTAAATATAGACTTAATATTTTCTGACAAATAAGCTAATTCAAAACAAATGGTACAGTTTATTAGAATTCCATTACTTTCCTATCGAAATGATCATAGCTCTGATCAATTGAAATTGAGAAAAATAGTTATGTAGAAATTAATTTCTAAATTTTTTAAATAGTTTTCAAACAGCAACATCGTAATAAAAAGAAGTTATAAAGGAATAGAAATATCAGTTTTTAAATTTACATTTTTCAGCTAAATATTTTTCTAGTCCATTGATCTTATAGTATATTCTTACATTTGATAACATAAAAAATAGATTATTTTTGCCTCTTTATCAATTTTTTCGTTCAGATATTTGGCTTTGAAAAAAAGTTAATACTTTTTATTAATAAAAATTAGATAATTTGAAATAAACGACGAATAATCTTTGCTATTTTTTTTTTTCATTAGTAAGTAGGGGAGTCAATTTTTCAAAATTTAGTTATTCAATTAAATATTTTAGCAATTCTTAAAATTTACTAGATCAAATCGTTTGCTTTTTTATTAAAATAGCTCTATTTCATTAACTTGTGAATTGTATAAAAAAATTATTATGAAAAATCACCAATATTCATTTCAAGATTTAATCTCTTATTTGTTTTTTAATTTAAGTTGAGCATGAATAGGTGTAGTGAATTCATGATTTAACATTAAGATTAAAAAAAATTTAATAACTCAGAAATTTATTTTTGCTTATCATTAATTTTTAGAAATTCTTGAAAAACTACAACGCCACAAAAAACTACGCTTGGATGGAGAGAATAACCCCATTGCTAATATCCGTCGATGGCTAGAAGACAGACTAAAAGCAACTAAAAGTGCCAATCCAGATGTAATAAATCGATTCTTAGTCTTTCAAGAAATTGAAGAAGCTGAAATTATTGATAGCGACCTAGAAGACGAAAAAGAGAATGAGGAAGATGACTTGATAGAGTTGTTGAGTGATTCTGATGCCGAGTCTATTATACGACAGTGATCAGGAGTAAACCTTGCAATAATGTCTCACTTCATTATTATTTATTAATAAAATTAAAACATGTTTCAATTTTTCAATTCTTACAAATTATTGACTCAATCAA